ACTTGTTTGTGAGTTGTGTAAATCTCGCTTTTAGGACTTGAACAGAGGCCAATGAAACCAGACTTAGTCGTGGCTTCAGTTGGGGCGTTCCCCCAGCAGGGATAGGAATACTTAGTAAATGTAAATGTTGGAGGTGATGCCAATGTCTGTTTTCCAATTGGAACATGGATAGAGAACAGAATGAAAGCCAAAGACAGGAAAAGGAGTTTCCTCTTTTGGCTTCCTTTCTTTCTGTCTCCCTACATTGACCTTAAAAGTACCACGAGTGGGGCGTCCTCTTATCTGAACCCTTCCCTGTGTTCAACACATCCCTGCCTATCAAAGACGCCGTTCCAGCTCTTCCCTCAACCTCTTTATCTGCAAGTTCAGTCGCTGTCGTTCACACATACTTAAATTTGTCCTCCTGTTTCAGGGCAGTCATCAGAGTATTCCTTATGTGCATGCTTTCCTCTTGTTTGAACGCATTTGTACCCCTTTATCTGAAGTTTAGATCTTACAGAAAAAAAGCTTATTTTCCCGTGGATCTTAGCGCATGCTCAGGGAGAACATGCAAACTCCATGCAGAAAGACCCCGGGCCGGGAATCGAACCCGAAACCCTCTTGCAGCAGTGCTACCCACTGCCTCACTGAGCAGCCCATGTTTTTCAATATTTGCCTAATTGTTTATCATTTTCTTTAGTTCCTGGCCTTATTCTGTAATTTTGACATTTAGGGCTTGCCATATCAGTCCATTTTCATGTGCCCATCTTTTTCATGGGTTTTTAATTTCTGTCAGGAACAAAATGGTCAATAAAGGTTTGTTTGATTTGTTCTGATATCGTGTCTGGTTAATATTGGTATTGATCAATAATAGGAATATCCCGATTACACTGTTTTGAGTTCTGATATACCAATACTGCAGACCGACACCAATATTAACCCAATGCAATATAAGCAGGGGAAAAAAAGCATACCTTTGTTATCAGTTTGTAGTATTGGGTGATTAATAAAGTCAATAGAATCACTCAAACGGAGAACAGGATAACAGGTATGACAACATTTATTATTAACCACTTGGTTACATAAACGTTAAACAGAAGGGGAGTGTTTCTATTAGCATGCTGATATCGGATATCTGATATCGATATTGGATCATTCAGAGTGAATACTTAAAGCAGCAACATTGACATTGCATCAGGAATTAAAACGTTGAATCAGGGCGACCCCTAGTTATCAATATGATCTCTGTTTATGTTCTCCTGTTGCTCTAGTTCTTTAATCTTAAGATTATTTTATAATGATAGCACTCTACCACTCTCTTAATTCTCCTCACCTAATTGTCTCCACCCCCAATTTAAATGTATTCCTTTAGTTATTTGTTTAATTATTCATTTATTTTTACATTTTTGTTTTAATTTCTGCCTTTTTGTACAAATGAGGAGTTGCGGTGCCTTCAGGCTTTAACTTCTACCTATAGACAACTTTACTTCTTCCATTAAGCTATTTCTGACTGGTTGAATAAGGTCAGAGTTTTAATGTTTTCAATTTTTTTACTTGCACAGAGTTGCCTTTAAAATCAGTACATTTTAATTTATAAAGGAACATATTTTATCTATTCCCCTCCCTGCTATAATATTGAACTGGGAAGATAAGACGAAATTTACAAAAATGTAACAAATTAGTTAAAAATGATTATAATTAAATAAAGAACCAATTAATCATACTTATTAAGCATTCATTTATTTCTCCATTTCTTGTTATTTATGTCTATTTTGGTCCTCCATAAGTGAGAGCTGTTAACCAGAATAAAAGAAACGTCTTTAAGATTAATATGAACCAAAAAGACGAGAACTTTTAGAAATTGTAAACATAATACCAGCTGTCAAACATGGAGGTGGAAGTATGATGGTCCTGGTAGATTAAAAACCATGAATTTTGATCATAATTAGTAAATTCTTAAGATGAATCCCAAAAACACACAGCCACCCAGCAGCAGTTTGTTGCCTTTAACCCCTTGAAGCCTGAATTGATTTACATGTACATAAAAATAATACATTTTTTGCATGTTTTTCCCTTTACTGAGATGCTAAAATAAAATGGTTAATGTTACTAAATAGATAAAAATGAAGGTAAAATATATTTTGTTACAGTAGTTATAACATACACTGTGCCTAGCACTGGGGTGATGCAAAAAATCTATGGTGGCTGTTTGCCTACGCTGCAAAAATGTTTGAAAATGAGTAAAGATGTCTTAAAATAAGTGTCTTTAATCTTTATATATGTAGGAAAATTAGATGATCTGCCAATGGAATGAGCAATTTTGCCCTTAAGATAAGATAATTAGATATTATGCACTTCAAATAAGAGACTGAAGTTGTTTGATTTTCTTATTTTAAATGTACATTGTCTTGTTCCAATGGCAAAGTGTCTCACTTACCTGCTCAGTTCAAGGAAAAAGGCTGTTATTTTAAGAAAAAGTGACTTACTTAGATTTACAATTTTTGCAGTGTAATACAAGCCGTTTGTTGCTTATTACACTGGAAAAACAATCTAGAAATAAGAAAATAAATTCAATTGTATTTACCCTTAATTTGAGTAGTTAAATTAGATGATTTGCCAATGCAATGAGTATGTTTACTCTTAAAATAAGATATTTAGATAAAACATATTTAATATTAGACAATGCAATTCTGTTTTCTTATTCTAAATGTAAATTGTCTTGTTCCATTGGCTAAATGTCCCTTTTACCTCCTCAATTCAAGAAAAAAAATGCACTTGTTTTAAGAAAAAACGACTTATCTAGATTCTGATTTTTTCCAGTGTAGCAACAACTGGCATGAAAGGGTTAAATTGTCTGAAAAGCTTAAGGCACCTGTGTTACTAATTAGGGCTAAACATGATGTGATGCAGGGATTAAAACCTTTTGCCGTACTAATAATCTAGTCCTTCCTATTTTAGCATAATATCTCAAATTAAAATAACTATTTTATGTATTTAAACATGAAACACTTGGTTTGAATGAAAAATACATTTCCAGAAGAAAATGGTGTTTAGATAGATGATCAGGGCAATTCTACATTTCTTTTAGGAGCTTCCTTCCATGAGGAACATGTAAAACAGCTGTGCTTATCTGTGCAGTTTTACCGTCTGTCTATTTTCTTCCTACTGTTGCACTGGGCTGCGTCACTGCTGAGGAGAAGTAAGATCTGGAGCTGGGAAAAACCTCCGACCACAAGAAAGTGTTGAAGGCAGGAGTGACACAGACTTACATTCTGTTTGTGGAACTGGTCTAAAAGCGGAGAACAAACGGCGACTATTTTAAGACGTTTCTGTGGAAGCAGCTCCGTTCATGTTTTTTCTCAGAAGCATATGAGACTCGAACATTGTACATGTGGGAAGCTTTTTACGCTTTTAAAAGCTTTAAGGGTGTAAATGCAGGGAGGCTGTCCATTATAACCTCTTAACATAGTTCTATGCTATATATTCTGAATCCATTAAGAGGCTCGAAGGAAATCCTTATGTTTCAAACAGTTGGATTTCGGTTAAATCAGGGGATTTTCTTTGTAGCTTTATGTGTTGGCTGTGTTTAAAGGAATCTGGCTCAAAATGAGGGCTTTCAATTCTTTTTTTGATTAAGCAATTAACAATAAGACATGATTCTGCAAAGAATTTAAACCAACTGAGGCTAAAGTGGGCCTTTTGATGACTTAGATAGAGAATATTAATCGACATAAAAGGTTTTTCGTCTTGAATGCAGAATTTGTATATATATATATATATATATATATATATATATATATATATATATATTGGAGAGTTGTTGTATAAGAACTGTTCTAAGTGGTTTCAGCTAATGGCATGTGTTACACTGGAATAAATCAAAATCTAGATAAGTAATTTGTTCTTAAAACAAGTGCATTTGTTCTTGGATTAAGGAGGTAAAAGTGCCATTTTTCCATTTTTCGAACAAGACAATTTACACTTAAAATAAGAAAACACAATTGCATTGTCCTATTTCAAGTGCATATTATCTAATTATCTTTGTTTAAAAGTAAAAATACTAATTCCATTGGCAAACTTTCTCATTTACCTACTCAAATTAAGGGTAAATACACTTAATTTAGGACATTTTCACTTTTTTCTAGATTTTTTTCCCAGTGTATTTATACTAAAGTTAAGGATTAATCGATTACAATTTTATCAACCATCAATTAATCGCATTCCTTCCTTTGGAGTTCCTTTCATTGATTCTATTAATTGTTTCAGTTCTATAACATGTTAATCTGTCAACTATGATTTTGATTAATTATATAAAGTTTAAAAAAACAATCCACTGTACCTTTTTCTTCCCAAGTTTGAAGGCATTTCGCTTCCAATCCAGGAAGGTTTTTCAATTTAAAATGTCTGGGTTAGCGTTTAGATCCAGGCTTTTATTGAATAGCCCAACTAAAGCCTTGTAATGGCTTACAAAACACGCACATTGAAGCAGGAAAACCAGCTCCACCCCTTAATAATGGAGGCCTTGAGGTCGTTATTGGTCTGCAATAAACGATACTGGCCTATTCCTCTGAAAAGGCAGTCGTTCAGGGTCATTGTTGGGCTGGCTGACCTGGCCCTTTTGATTAATAATCAGAAGGCAAAAGGTAAAGAGGTTTAAATACAAATTTAATCCAGATAAAGGTAAATTTATTCCAGTTGAGGACTTTGGGATAAAAGGAGATAAAATATTTTTAATTTTGAATGCAAAATGTTTATATGTTTTTGTTTTTACATTTTTGTTTGATCAGTCTCTATACTCCAATCAATTACTTGATTCATCACAATTAATCCATTAATTTGCCAGCCCTGGTTAACATTAGTTTATCCACCTTAACATAATGATATTTATAGTAATATTTATAAGAAGGAATCTTGCTGGTTGTATATGTGATTCTAGTTTCAGCCACTAGATGGAGCCAATATGCTTGGAATGTTTTATCAGTCCGGCTCACTGACTGGTTCCTGTGTGTTTGTCCCCTCAGACTGCAGCTACACCTGTCACCTGGAGTGTGAGCGTCGGGTCCAGCTCGACTGCAACCAGAGGGACAGAGAGGCAGCAGAAAGCCCAGATCCCAAAGGACACGCCTCCTCCTCCTCCTCCTCCTCTTCCTCTGCAGCTCCTCTGCGTAAGGTGAGATAAGCAGGATTAATTGAGAAGAGTGGACGACTTACAGATAGGTGTCCATGACTCAGCTCTTTATCGATAATAGCAGGGCTCTCTCTGCGTCATGCCCACGCTCTTACATAACCATCATCCTCTTGCACAATAGGCCGTCCAGCAGTACGTCAGGTAGCTTATATTCTCACAGAATGTTCTCCGAACAGGACGCTGCTTTAGATCATCACCTGCCTCCTTCATCCTCCTCTGCTGCTGACTCTTTAGACCCCCCCCCACCCCCTTTTCTTTGTTTCTCTCCGGCTCCTCTCTCCGACAGCTTTATCGAATCACTGCTGGGCCATGATGCTCTCACTTCCTCACATCCTGTCAGATGGAGGAAGCCAATTAGGTTAATCAGTGTTCCCTCAAGGGACATCAGTCACGGCAAAGCAGCATTTCCTCAACATGTTTCCTCTGATCTATGACAAACTGGCAGAGCCAATTAAGAGGGAATGTTTGGTCAACATGACCACTTTTCTTGTTTAGGTCAAGTCATTTCTCAACAGTGAGGTAGCAGATTAATCCTCCAAAAATCTTCCTCAACAGGAGTTCATGTTAATTAAATTAATCTGTTCTAAATGCATTAGGAGTTAGTGTTGCACCCAACGTTTGTCTAACCCACCATGGGAAAGCCTGGTAACAGTACTAGCACTTTAAGGGAATAGATTACAGGTTTTAATATTTGTAGAAGTAAAAAGAAAGAACAGTTTTGGCTTTTATACTTTTCCTGATCTGCATCAGCATAGAAAAAATAGAAAACATATATGGGTTTGACCTTCTAGACCAGAGATCACAGATCTGGACCCAACCTGATTTCAAACATTTATAAATTACCACGTTGTCCGACGGCAGAGTCTAATTTCACTTGCGCCACTTCTCCTGTTTGTACGGTAAAGCCCTCCGGCTCCAGGCTATACGTGATGCAAATTATCCAATGAGCTGCTGTCAGTCTGGGTTGCTGCTGCTGCTACTTTTAGACACAGCAGGCAAACCTGTGGCAAGCCGGGCGATGGGAAAGAAGGAGAAGATGATGAGAAAAAGAGAGCAGAGAAAGTGTGGACTGCTGGAAGAACTGTGGTGAACTGGTGAAAGAAAAGTGAAATGTTGTGTTCAATGATGACCCTGAACATTTAGAGGATGTTTGGCTCAACCTGCTGCTATGAAGCAGGATTCTCCACCATGAACAGAATCAAAAATAAATATGGATCCAGGCAAAGAATGAGCACCTTGATATGTGCTTTAGAATGGCTTAGTCTCCATTCAAACCCAGGTTTAAAGCCTTGCAGGGCAGCATAAAGCCCACTGCTCTCATTAAGACAGGAAAACGAAAAATGGTCAGTTCAGGTGATTCTCAAAATGCTGAAAAACCAGGAAACTGATCAGAGCTCGGGGCTTCAGGGAGCCAATAAGAAAACACAGAAGGAGACAGTGTCACTTAATGTCTGGATTAGAGCTGCACAGTGCAAAATATGCAGTTTTTATTGCAATATCAATGTTTGCAGATACAGCAAATGTAAAGAAGTTTAATATATGCAAATTCTGCGTGAATTTATTTGGTCCTTTGGAGGAGCTTTCAGTGCCCTGATGCATCATCTTAATAGATGGGATTAAACTTCTCAAGTGTTGTGAGGAACATTTGAAGGCAAATAAAGAACTTGGAAAATGTGATTTAATTAAGTTAATTAATCATCTTTACTCATCAGAAGTGAGAAATAAACTCAGGAAGAGGTTGTCCTATCTTGCTAAACAATTTATTAAATATTATTAACTGGTCTTTTGTGCAGTTTATTAAAAAATTAAGTGAAAAAAAGTGACTTTTTATCTTGAGAGAAGCAGCCAATCAGACGTCAGGGTTCCTATGGAAGCTGTCCTAGTCCCGCCCACTGGGTCGAATATGATAGTTTAAATAATTTTATGATGGGAAAATCAGTAAATAGATAATAAAAATAAATCATTTTAATGAAAATGAGAGATTTATTTATATAATTTCACAATTTAAAAAAAGTATATTTAATTATTCAGTTTTTCATTTTATAATTTAATGATATATATTATATAATTTAATGGTATATTTGATTGTTAAATGATTTATTAAATATTATTAAGTGGTACATTTATTGCTTTGATAACACATAATACATATTTATGTCATGCTATTTTAATTTAATTAATTTTGTCCCCCTTAAACCTCCATATTCAAGCTTATGCTTTTTCACTTGTTTTTTCCACTGTTATCAATTTTAGTTCAGTTTTATTGGATTTATATTTTAAAAAATGGCTTTTTATTTATGATACCCCTACAGTGTTTTCTCCAAAGCAGTCTCTACCTCCAAAATGCCCTTTAAACATAGTTGACTGAATTTTAAAGCACAACAAACAGCAAGCTGATCATGATGCCTCCTGAAAGAGGAAAACATGAAAAATCTCTGCTTTGCACACGGTTGAACCCAGTGACTGAGGTTTGTTTCTGTCTACGCTGTGGTTTGGCTCAGAATACTGCAGCAGTGCTACAGACCAGAGGGAAAAACCGGCTGTTTATTTCCTGCTGTCCCCCGCTTATTTTTCATTTTTTTATTGCCTCTGTTTCATTGCTGTATCTCTGTATCCGCTTCCTTTTTTTCACCCCGTCTTTTGTTACTTTGTGTTTGTTTCAGCAGGAATTGATCCCCTCCCTCACAGATGGTCACAATTCAAAGCATCGGCTGCACTTTATTGATCCGAGACCCCCAGGCGTGTGTGTGTGTCTGATTTTTGCATCCGAATCCTTTCTTGCTTTTTTCACTGTTTGCAAGTAGGCCGAAGCAGATCTGCATTTAGTCCCCCTATGAGACGAATCGAAGCTTAAGATAGATGCTGATTAAAACTGTCACTAAAATGGCTCAGATGCAGCAGGAAACCAGCCAGGACTGCATTTATGTAGAAAAGCATCTTACAGAAGCAGCATGCAAATGCAATCAATATGAAGGTTGAAGGGGGAGGCTTTAGCTCTTTTCTGACAAGGGAGGTCACAACCAGAGCCAGAGGTCAGGGGGGCTGCAGTCACCTTCCCTGTATTGTTAAGTCAGGTTCTGTATTGTTGTAAAGCACATGGATTTGGAAACCACTGTTTTAGCAAAAGCATATCAGTGAATTACACCACAATTGAAAAGATCAATTATTTCCATCGTATGTTGTATAGATACGTTTGATTTAGAGTTTAACAATTAAAGCATCTCATGAAGGCTTATATCTAAAGAACAAACACAGCTGTCTGACAGAAATGATGTCAACGAGGGTAGGCCTCAAATACTAACAGTGAACCAGGAGACTGTTTATATCATCTTTTGTGCAATTTATTGAAAAAATTAAGTGAAAAAAAGAGACATTTTTCCATAATTTATCTTTACCTTTATCCTTTGCCGAGGTTTCTACCAGACTTTTTCCTTCCACTCAACTTTCCAACATATGTTAGAAACTCTGTGAACGAGCCTCTGTAGCCACAACCTGTCAAGCTAGCAGTCTTCCTCATGACCAAAAATGTTACATTATTCTATTGAAAATGATCAGAACTTAAATTTTAAATTGTACTCTGTACAAAATTATATAACTGTCTTGTCCCAGGATATGTGTGTATGTGTATGTCTGTGTGGCCATGTCTTTAATACCTGGTGGGGACAATTTCCTAGGAATATGCTACATTTTGGGGACTCATAGGTACTTGTGGGGACCAACAACTGGTCCCCATAAGGAAAGTTTCTCTTCTTGGGGTGAGGGTTAGGTTTAGGACTAAGGTGTGAATTGAGTTTAGGTTAGTTTTAGGGATAGGTATGTGTCGGTAATGGTTAGGGTTAGGGCAAGGGTCATGGTTAGGCCATATAAATTAGTGGGAAATGAATGGAAGTCAATGGAAGGTCCCCACAAGGATATTGTGACACAACATGTGTGTGTGTGTGTGTGGCTATTTGATTCCTGAGCTAATGGAAGGTCGAAATATATTATTAAATAAAAAAAATTTAGTATCCCATTAAATAAATGCATGAACCATGATTTGAAATAAAATGTATTTATTTAATAAATTATAAAATGTACACGTAGATACTAAAATGTCCCATTAAACAAATAAAAATAACATTTGAAGTGAATTAAAGGTCACAGCTCCAACTTTTTGGACAAAAAAAAACATGCGCAAGGCGCATAGAGCGGTGCAGAGAAAAAGTATTAATTTAACAAAAAATATAGTATATAAATAATACATTTTGATGGGTCCTTAATCTACAAATGCTTACTTCTGTTATGAGGCCAATTTTGCGGTCAAAGGCATAGGGCAGGATGAACTTTTTCCAGGTCAATCATCAAAATAAGTGGTCCTCCTAATTGCCAATCATTCCGGTGATGTGTCTGCACATGCGCACTTTCAGGCGTATATGTGTGGGGAGCTACGGTTTCAGACAGTCATTGAAACTCACCTTTCTTTTGGTTCTTTAAAAATGGCCGAGGGTCTTAAAAAAAAGTGTCTGCAAAGGGTTTGAGAAGAAAAGAAACGATACAAAAGAGAGAAACGAGACCAGAGTGTATTTTTGGGAGATTCTTTCACGCGATGGTGTACACTGAAAGCACAGGTCAGGCTTCCCACTGATGCCTCGGTTGCAGAGTTTCTACTTGACAGGGCTGTCAACTCTCACAGTGTATTCTCATTATGAGTTCGTATGAAATCGTACGAAAAGTTATGCACCGTAATTTCGTATGTTTTGGACGTTTTTTTTCGTCGTATGCGCTAACATAGAATTTAACATACAATTAACCCTAACCCTGACCCTAACCCTAAGATATAAAACAGCAAGCAACGTAATTAGAGACATGAAGAAGTAATTATTGCACTGTTTTTGCAAGTTTTACGTCTGCCTGCGCATGCGCACTGATCTGTTTTTTTGAGGAAAAACGTCCAAAATGTACGAAATAGTGTGCATAACTTTTCGTACGATTTCATACGAACT